ACAGGTTTGATTCCTTGCAGAACTGCTTTTGTTCTCTCGGTCCATAAAATCTAGGACCTTACTTACGTTTCTGTTTGCTAGTGACTTGTGAGGTTTTCTTTTCTCCTGCCTCAGTTCAAGCTAGATAAACAAGGAATTGAGGTTAAACTTAACAAGTTAAGTCCAGGACCTGGAGGATCTTGAAATGAGGTGGAAGAGTGTTGTCGTTTGTCAGCGAGGTTAGGCTTAGCACAGCAAGGATGGAGTCAGCAGGCTGCCTGACAACACCTAGAGGGCACTATCAGCTCTGTGAGTGTCCCTCCAGAAAAAGGGGCCAGTTCTATGCAAACATGTTCTTGCCCAGGACTTTGGTTTCTTCTCTCTGAGCTCCTGGCACAGTGGAGCCAACGTGAGCAGCCACTTGGCAGGGCAGAGAAAAGCAAGCTAGCAGTCCCCAGGCTCAGGTGACAGGGTCAGGCCCAGGAGACAGAGATGTTGACTGGGGCTTTAACAGTGCTGTTGATGCCAATCTCGGGCAAAAACCTGATATTTCCACTTGGAGCAACAAAAAACAGCCAACAGGATTGGAGAGGGGTCAGTGAACAAGGAGAGCCCCCTGCAGGCCTCACTGGGTGATGCCGGAACAGAGGAGGACAGCCCCGGCTGGACAGGGATCTCCTGAGTCCCCTGAGATGGTGAGGATGAGGATAATGATGACGGCAGCAGTGGCAAGGAGAAGACAGAGGGACAAAGAGGAAAACACAATATGTCAGGCTTTATGTAAACAATCCTCAAGAAATGGATACTACTTATTGTGGTTTCTGTATAAAATACCCTCCCCAAAGCCCCGGGTATTGGTGATTAGATCATGAGGAAGGAGCTCCCTTTGTTGATGATTGACTCCATTGACTGACTAACCCTGAATGGTCTATAAGGAACCGAAGGCCGCCTGGAGAAAATAGGTCACCAGTGGAATGCTCTTGAACAGGAACTCTCAACCTTTCTAATCCTTCGACCCTTTAATACAGTCCCTCATGTTGTGGTGACCCCCAACCAGAACATTATTTTATTTCTACTTTTTTAACTGTAATTTTCTACTGCTATAAATTGTAATATAAATATATGATATGCCGAATATATAATATGTGACCCCCCCAAGGGGTCATGACCCACAGGTTGAGAACCTCTGCTCTAGGGGACCAGTTCCTTCTCCCTCTTCTTGCCTCTCTTCCTTTTTCCTTTGCTCTTCCCTTCTTCTCTCCTCTCTCCCCACTGCCCACCTCTCCAGTCTCCATGAGGTCTATTTTCCATGCTATCCACTACAACATTTTGTCGTATATGGCCCGAGAAAAATGGAGTGAAACAACCCTGGACTGAAACTTCTGAAACTGGGAACTAAAATTAACTGTTCATCTTTTAAGTTGGCTCAGTTATTCTGTCATAGCAATGAAAAGTGACTGATACAACATGGCTATTCTCATCTCTTAGATTTACAGAAAACTAACATTTTTCAAGCATGGTGGCTCATGTGTGTAATCCCAGAACCAGAGAAGCAGAAGCAGGAGGAACTACCATTCAAGGCTGGCCTGGACTAGATAGTGAGTTCCAGGCCAGTCAGGAATTCATAACAAGACTTTGTCAAAAGAAAGAAGGAAAAGGGAAAAAGGAAGGAAGAAGAGGAGGAGGAAGAAGAAGAGAAAGAAGACGGAAGAGGAGGAGAAGACAAAACAAAAAAGAAAAAGAAAAAAGAATTAAAAATTCAAAGTCTCACACCTACTATCAGATGGAGTAGGATTTGAACTTACATCATTGCCTCTGAAATTTATATTGCTCCATATACCAGTCATATTTTTCAGTGCATTCCAGAAGCTCCTAGCCTTCTAACGTGCAGTCTTATTCCTGCTCTTCTAGTGATGTGTCCCTGCAATGTTAAGGCTCAGGAGAATGCATCGAAAACACCTTGCACATAATGATACTGGCGATAGCAATAATACCAGCTTGAATTTCTATACCATTCTTTGCTTTTAATTATTTCCCTGGGGCTGGTGGCTGAAGGATGGGAATGTAGTTCTGTGGCACAATCCTTACCTAGAATGCACAAGGCCCTGGGTTCCATCTACAGCAGTGCAAATAAATAAGCAGACGAAAAAATAAATTCTTAGAGGAAATTAACATTGAAATATTTTTGTTTCTCCAAAATGTTTTCTTTTTTTTTTTCTGAGACAGGGTTTCTCTTTGTAGTCCAGGCTGTCCTGGAACTCGATTTATAGACCAGGCTAACCTCAAACTTACAGAGCTCCTCCTGCCTTTGCCTCCTGAGAGCTGGGATTAAAGGAATTGTGCCACCACTGCCTAGCACGTTTCCGAATTTTTAATCAGTCATTTTGTAGTTGTTATCACACAATCATAATCAGCTTGTATGGACGTATTATGTTTTTATTTTATTTTCTTCCTTCCTTTTTTCTTTTCTCCTTTCTTTCTTTCTCCCTTTCTTCATTCCTTTCTTCCTCCTTTTTCTTTCTCCCTTTCTTTCTTTCTCTCATTCATTCTTTCTTTCTTTAACACAAGTTTTCATGTAACTGAGTCTGGCTTTGAACATGACGGTTGATCTTGAACTTCAGCTTCTGTTCTACTTTCTTATGTAGCATCACTCTCTACATGGAGATTCTCGCACATAAACACATCAACTGCTGCAGTAAACTATTACACTTCCTGAATGCTACAGTTATCACATTTCTGTGATGATGTAAAGCTCATGGCGCTGATGGCACCCAACACTGGCAAGGATGTAGAGCAACAGGAAAAGGAATGTGTTGCTAGTGAGACTGCGAAATGGTACAGTCACTTTGGAAGATGGTTTGGCAGTCACCTGCAAAACTAAACATATTCTTCCCATATGATAGTGCAACATACTCCTTGGTATTTACCCTCCCCAAAGCTGAAAACCTTTCCAAATAAAAACCCTGCACACAGATGTTTATAGTAACTTTATTTGTAGTTGACAAAAACCGGAGGCAAAAAATGTCTTTCAGGGGGTGAATGAACAAATCAACTATGGTACATCCTTTCAATAGACTATTATAAAGTATTAAAAAGAAATGAGTTATGGATCTATAAAAAGATATGGAACAACCTTAAATATACAAATGAAAGAAGCCAGTTTGAGGAGCTACATATTCTATGATTCCAACTCCACGACATTCTAGAAAAGGCAGAACTATGGAAATGGTTTTAAAAAAATCAGAGTTTGCCAAAGGCTAATGGGAGAACGAGATGACTAAGCAGAACGCAGAGGAGAGCACCCACTGTAATGGTGGATACATGCCATTATACACTGCTCCAGACTTACAGCAGGAGGAATTACACCAAAAGAAAGCTCTCATGCAAACTAGAAACTGACGATCATGCTGTGCCAATTAAGGTTTGTCGATTGTAACCAAGCTACTATTTCATTGGGGATGTTGATAGTGGGAGAAGCTATGTATATGCCAGGCAGGAGACACAGGGAACTCTTTGTGCCTTTCTCTCAATTTATGGGTATGTGTATACATCTTTGTGTGTGTGTGCATACGCATGTGTGTACACGCAGAGGCCAGAAATCGATATCTTTCTTTATCACTCCATCTTATTTTTTGAGACAGAATATCTCATTAAACATGGAATTCACCAGTTGACTGGCCAGCGAGCTCCAAGCATCCTCCTGTCTCTGTCTTTCTAGGATTACAGGCATTTGCCATCAGGTCCTTGTTTTTTACATAGGGGCTGGGGACCCAGAGTCGGGTCCCCATTTGTAGGGCATGCACTTTACTGACTGAGCCATCTCCCCAGGTTCCTCTCTTAACATTTATATTGCTGTAAGATTAAAACTGCCCTTCAAAAAAAAAAGTCTTTTGTATGCACTTCTATAATCCCAACACGGAGGAAGTTGAAGCCAACCTGTGCTAGACAATAAGACCTGAGGGGAGGGGACACCTAACAAAACTATCACAAGTCTGTTAGATGAAAAACTTGAGGGCAGTGACATGATGCGGGGCTCTTATCTCTGTCCAACTCTGGAATTTAATAAGCTATTTTGCCATTTTCCTCATCCATAAATAGAAAAAAATAGCTGTCTCATGGGCATCAAATGAGCTGACGCTCAGTGGATCCACTGTAGCATGCAGTCGTGATTCTGTGCAATGTAATCCCGTGTCTTTCCTTCCCACGGCATCACAGGCTGCTTCTGGGCAGAGACCTCTCCACTTTATAATCACCTCTACCTAGCACAGTGTGTGGCATTTGGGCCCCAGAAGTCTGTTGATAGTGAGCGCAAGCCTAAATTTTCTCTCCTTTGGACGTTTGAGGGTTTTCTCAACTTTTTGCTATTAGCAAAATTCATCTCCAAACCCTTCTGTTTTACATTGCCTAATTTGGTCTGTATCCTATGTGAAGTAGGCAGAAGAAGGCTGTGTGCCCATACCCACACTCTGAGATAGGAAGAACAACTATGGCTTAGCGACGTGAAGGGACTTCTGTCATGTGTTGCACGGGTGACAACGACAGAACCTCTGGCCCCGCCTCTAGCCCCTACCTCCACAGACCTCTTTTCCTTCTAACCACTGCTTTCTGCAGCAGAGGTCTCTTCAAAAAAGAGTCTGTAGTGGTGAGCCTGGTCTAAGAGCAGCACCTTTACCTGTGGTCCCTCTGGGGGAACACAAGCTGTGAGCTCCCAGATGACCCCCCTGAAATCAAACGTTTTATTCCCAACACCTCCAGGCCTCTATTTTCCCAGAATGAGGAGCTTCTTAGAAAAGGGCGAACACGCCAGGTTCTCCCCCACCCCCACCCCCACCGACTTTTCTCCCTATAAAGGGGTGAGGAGACGATTCTCAGTGTCCAAGAGGAGGGACTTTAGCTAAAAATAGCAATGGCGTGTGGACCAGTCAGAGTGGTACCCAGGACTGGGAAAGGGAGGGGGACGCTGTGGAGCTGTAGCCAGACTGGTTGCCGTGGAAACGGGAGAGGAGCAGAGGAACCTGGGAAGTGGGGATGACACAGATACCAAGTCCTAGTCTGAGCGGCCGCTACATTTAGGAGTCTGCGGTTCCCACTCTCAGAGGGGACCTATGGTGGGGGGGACATGGTGTCAGGGACGTGGGCACCAACCCCCCAGGGTCTCTGCTGCCGGCTTCTCTCCTCTCCAGGCTCTGTGAGTTGAGTTGTGGGACTTGGGGTTCGGGCCCCGATTTCGAAGGCAAGTGGGGGCTTGGGTGGAGCTGGTTCCTGAGGGAGTTTTCACCAGGCAGACCTCCTTCCAAAAGATAAGCCTCTCCCCACCCCCCGTACTGGCCAGCACGCTCTAGTGGGAGAAAAAGAGCACGAAGAAACATACGGTCCTGGGATCTCACTGAAAGGGGTCACAGCATGCTCAAGAACTGTGGTTAAAAGAACTGTAGTTATTTGGAGGGAAAAGGCAGAAACGAAGCCCTTGCTCTTTAGGTAGTGGACAGTGCACACCTTTCCTGTCCCGTGAAAAAGAGACCCTTCCATAAGATAGCAAGAGCTAGAACCCACTCAGAAGGTTCCCTGGGAAATCAGCGTTTTGGGGATGATCGGACACTGGGAGCCCTTCTTCATTCCTGGACATAGATGGAGGTCAGATTAGCTAAGACCCTAAGAAGAATGCCTAGAAGCCCACCTGAAGCTAATGCCAGGATGCAAGAGACCCAGGGTCCTGAGGCACTGAGTACTTACAGATCACTTCCAGAGGACACCCTGAGCTGCAGAGAGGGGAAAGCAAGCCGGCTGTTGGGGGAGGGGAAGATCTAATCTGCCATTGCCAAGGTGTTCCTGGGCTATGTCTCCTGACTGCCATGGAAGATAAGTGTGGGGGCCCTGAGGATACAAACCATCTCTTTGTGGTTTCTTCTTCTGCCTGTTCTTTAACATACAAACATCCTCCAAAGGTCTGGCTGCAGGACGCTTGGCTCAAAATTTAAAAATTGGAATGTAGGGCTTGTAGTTACATATCCATGCAGTTTCTCCCTAGGACCTGGTCATCTAAGCCATCTGTGAGCCTTATGTCACATTCCTGCACTCCCTTGCCCTCCCAGACCTCCTGCCTCTCCCCCCCCCCACCCCCAGGTTCCCTTGAAATGGGAGGAGATAACCAATCTCAGAAAAGAGAAAGGAAGGTTGATGACTCCTAAATCCTTGCTCTACAGACTTTGGTTCATATGGTCCATATCTCTTAGGGGACCCTAAGAGCCTAGGGAAGAACTCTGGGCATCCATCTCTCAGGGAAGATTGCAACTCAGAGTGCATCTCAGGGGGAAGAATTTGAAACAAAATCAGGTGGGTTTTGCTGGGAATCTGGGCTTTGCTTGGAATGTGGGTTTGGGGACATATGGCTGGTGTGGGTGGGGTTGATGTTAGGGTAGTAAATGCAAAACAGGAAACTGGAAGGGGGTTGGTGTGGGCGCTTGATGTTTCTCTTGGTGCCTTTCTTACCTCTAAGAAGTATAGAGGTTGAAAGCTACTAGACGAGCGTAACCCTGGATGGCCTAGCACGTCCTTTATCTTTGCTGTGGGCAGTTGATCTCACATGGCCTCCAGCCTCCTAATGCCAACCCTTTTCTGCATGTCTCCTTTGGGAAAGAGCCCAGGCGATATCGGAGCATCAGTGACCACGGTTAAGCAGTCAGAATTGCCAATGGGAATTTCCTAATTTGGGGAACATTCAACCTTTGCACACTGGAGACTTTTTGTGCACAGCTGGCATTTCTTTCTCCTTGGTAAGTTTGGGGTAGAGAAATGATGGAGGAGGAGGTAGAAAGAGTGAGATTCAGACAGAGAAGAGAAGGGATAGTCTTGCTGTGACCTTTGGGTCAGATGATGAAGAAGAGTCCGGGCAGGAGGAAGGGATAATGGCCAGGGAAAGAGTGGTTTAAGTCCTCATGGCAGGGAGGGCTCTGCATGGAGAAGGAACTTCTTACGTTTTAGAATCCCAGGAGTCTGGTCCGGGCTTGTCTGTGAGGTGCTACGCACTTCGGCTTGAGGTGGTGGCATCGAGATGGGCGACACCGACATCTCTAACACCTCCTCCCCATTGAACTTGCACTGCACTGCCCAGTTCGTGATCATTACCCTGTGTGATCCGTACAACTTATTCTTAACCTTCATTTTTATTTTATGTGTGTGGGTCTTTGGCCTTCATGTATATCTGTGCAACACCCTCAGAGGCCAGAAGAGGGCGAGAGATTGGAATTACAACCGGTTGTAAACCCACATGTGGGTGCTGGGAATCAAAGCCAGATCCTCTGGAACAGCAGCCAGTGAGCCATTTGAGCCATCTCGCGAGCCCTCCTGGCCCCCAGCTTTCTGAGTTTGTGGGCTTCTGGGTTGTTCCCATGACACCAAGTGGGGGAAATTGAGGCTAAGAGAGAGGAATGGGGTGATTCGTTCAGGGGCTACTCGCCATTGCACTGACCCTGAGTTCGGGGTGGACCCATCAACTCGGCAAACCTTTATTAAGTCCCCGCAGGATTCCGGCTGCAAGCGCCATGGCGCAGGAGAACGCCGCCTTTTCCCCGGTGTCGGAGGAGCCACCCAGGCGCCGTGGCCGCCAGCGCTACGTGGAGAAGGACGGGCGCTGCAACGTGCAGCAGGGCAATGTACGAGAGACCTACCGCTACCTGACCGACCTGTTCACCACGCTGGTGGACCTGCAGTGGCGCCTCAGCCTGCTCTTCTTCGTGCTCGCCTACGCACTCACTTGGCTCTTCTTCGGCGCCATCTGGTGGCTCATCGCCTACGGCCGCGGCGACCTGGAGCACCTGGAGGACACCGCGTGGACCCCGTGCGTCAATAACCTCAACGGCTTCGTGGCTGCCTTCCTCTTCTCCATCGAGACCGAGACCACCATCGGCTACGGGCACCGCGTCATCACTGACCAGTGCCCCGAGGGCATTGTGCTGCTGCTGCTGCAGGCCATCCTGGGCTCTATGGTGAACGCCTTCATGGTGGGGTGCATGTTCGTCAAGATCTCGCAGCCCAACAAGCGGGCCGCCACGCTAGTCTTCTCCTCTCACGCTGTGGTATCGCTGCGCGACGGGCGCCTCTGCCTCATGTTCCGCGTGGGCGACCTGCGATCCTCGCACATCGTGGAGGCCTCCATCCGCGCCAAACTCATCCGCTCGCGCCAGACGCTCGAGGGCGAGTTCATCCCTCTGCACCAGACCGACCTCAGCGTGGGCTTCGACACCGGGGACGACCGCCTCTTCCTCGTTTCACCTCTTGTCATCAGTCACGAGATCGATGCCGCCAGCCCCTTCTGGGAGGCGTCGCGCCGCGCCCTCGAGAGGGACGACTTCGAGATCGTGGTCATTCTCGAGGGCATGGTGGAGGCCACGGGTGCGGGCAGGCTGGAGGATGGGAGCGGTGATGCAGGGCTAGAGCAAGAAAAGCACGGGGGAGCGGGAGGAGTGGGAGGAGGAGCATGCAGAAAGATGGACAGAGTGGGGTATAGGGCGACAGGTGGAGGAGGGGGGTGTGCTGGGGGCAGGGATGGAAATGAAAGGGATGGACAGGGTGACTTTGCAGAGTCAAGAAAAAGCTTGGAAGAGTTCTATGAAATGATGCTAGCTTGAGGCCCTGGCCTGACAGGCATGTCACTTTGAATAGCCCTTGACATCTCTGAATTCATTTAATCCTAGCAAGGTTCCCCTGGAGGTTACTTTTTACTGTGCTCACTTTTCAGAGGATGAGTAGCCCCAAAGAAAGGTCCCATAAATAGCCCACTGTCACAAGCCAATAAATAGCCTAGATAGAATACAGGAAGTCTATCTTCAGTGTTTCCTAGTACGATGTTGGCATGAAGGTTACATGTAAGGTTCTTGATGTGCAGAGAGCCAGAGCCCTGGAATTTGATTGACGGAAGTTATTCTCCTAACTGAGGTGTGGAGAGGTGAGAACTGGTCTCACTTGGGCCTCAGTTACCCCAGCTGCCATTCTTAACTTCCCCTGATGTTGCCACTTCTAGTTCCTTTCCAGAAGGAACTGTGACGTCAGTGCCTTCACTCAGGCCTACACTGTCAAGAGCTTGCTTGGGACCAGTATAGGAGCAAAAACAGGTCCTTTAAGAGGTCCTAGCCACTGAAGAGGATAAGAAAATGCAAGTGGAGAACCAAAGTGCCACTAGGGGGAGCTACAGCGCTGCTACTGACAGACTTGCTCCCTGTTGCTGGCCTTGAGACCCAGTTCCTGGTCCTAGGCAGAAAGCCTCAGCTTTATCACTAACTCAGTTCTATCCACTCCCCACTCCTCCTTCACTCCGACTAGGCTGATCCTAGCTCTTCCCCTTCCCTTGCTACTCCCTTGTCTCGCCAGCTGTCCCTACTTTTTGACACTATCTTGGGCAGTTCTCTTACAACGACTTTTCCCTTTTGCCGCCACCTCCTACCCATGCCTACTCCCCCCAGCCTCAGCCCCATCTCTGCTTCTCAAGCCTTTTCTCTGCAGAAACCCTGTGGAGGCGGGCTCTCCTTCCCCACCTTGACAGATTCGTCTTATTCCAGCTTTGCCATAGAATACCAATGTCCCCAGGATATCACAGAACCAGACCAGCCATTCTCTGGTTGGTGATGTTTACATCTCTGTTTCTGAGATGATATTAGTTTGGGGAGACTCTGAGGTAGGAACAAAATGATCTGCCCTGAGGGAAGGGTGCAAAATCCCAGCAGGGAAGGCAGGACAGACCCAGGGCAAGGACTGAGAAGGGCAGTGTAAAGGACATGGGGTGGGAACGTGTTCAATTTTTCTAGAGATAAAACAGGGAAGGATGGTAGTATTTTGGGATTCAAACTGCTTTTGAAACTCAAGAATAATGAGCCAAAAACCCAACACGATGACATTTAAAGGGAGTAAATATAAAATTCTACATTTAGGCTTCAAAAAAAAAAATCACTTATGTAAGCCCAGGCTCTGGTGGAGAAAGAACTGGGGGTTTTCGTTGGCCACAGGCTCCCAGGCTTGCTGTAGCAACGTGATGCAGCTTCCAAAGGCATTTATGTAATATAATCATGGGCCACTTTGCTAGAGCCTCCTGGCCAGAAGCAAGAGGCGGCAAGCTTTCTTTTATGCATCGAGGAGGCCACAATTGGAAAAATCATCACACTTCAGATGGCCTCTTACCTGGTCCTCCGTGACCATTCTGATTTGCAATGAAGGCAGTAAATTTCTCAAAAGCCAGATTAAGTGGGAAACGCTCGTGAGTGTTCAATCTGAGAAAGAGGTCTAATGGAACCTGGGTCTATATTTACAGATACTAACGGAGCATCAGGTGGGAAGGGAGTGAAATGCAAGGGGTAGAGATCCTCGGGACAGATTTTAGTTTGTATAAAAGACAGCCCAGAGCCAGTGAGATGGCTCTGCAAGCTAAGGTCAAAGGCCTGAGGACCTGAGTTCTCAGACTGTGGAGTGAACCAACTCCCACAAGTTGTCCTCTGACCTCCACATGCATCCTGCGGTGCATATGCACGCACACCTATGCATATAAACTCAAATCAATGCATATAAACACGCATGCATATAAACTCAAATCAATGCAATACACAAAGGACTGAACTTCTCATGAGGTGGTGAGCTTCCCATCCTGGTAGGTAACTGCCCATGGCTTGGGAATGCTCAGCGGTGGCGGGGGCAGCGAAGAGGCTCTGTGGGAAGTGGGAAGCTGGACCAGATGATCCCTAAAGTTAGTTTTAAGGTTGAGCTTCTCAAAGGGGAAATATAGGCTGGCAAATGGAGAAGTGAACTGACCAAAGAGAGGTGGGGCTCTTGGGGAGAGAGGGTTGTGGAGTGAGAGGCAGCAGAGGGAAGCTCAGGCCGGGATCCCTTTGATTAATGTGTCTTCCTCCTCCCCACAGGAATGACATGCCAAGCTCGAAGCTCCTACCTAGTAGATGAAGTGCTGTGGGGCCACCGATTCACATCTGTGCTCACCCTGGAGGACGGCTTCTATGAGGTGGACTATGCCAGCTTCCATGAGACCTTTGAGGTGCCCACACCCTCGTGTAGTGCCCGAGAGTTGGCAGAAGCTGCAGCCCGCCTCGATGCCCATCTCTATTGGTCCATCCCCAGCAGGCTGGATGAGAAGGTGGAGGAAGAGGGGGCTGGGGAGGGGGCAGGCGGGGGAGACGGAGCGGACAAGGAGCAGAATGGCTGCCTACCACCCCCGGAGAGTGAGTCCAAGGTGTGACTGGTTTTCTCCAAACCCCTGTGGCAGACCAGGGGGCTAGACACAGGTACATGGAAGCTGCGGAGTGGAGAGGGAAGAAGAGGAGGCAGGCAGTGTCCCAAGGAATGGCTAACGTTGGGAGAGGCCCACTGAGTCCAGGATCCAGTGGGGAAGGAAGAAGTCCTGGTTTGAAGAGAGGAGAGGGTGGGGATGAAAGAACACATCGGTCTGTCTGTCTGACCTTCACATCTGTTCGTGGGCGGATGGATGGACAGAAGGTCGGGCAGACAGAGACAGCCAATGGATAGCTTGGGTGACCTATGGATCAACAGTTGGTGACCCCAGGGCTGCCTTAACCTGCAGCACACCTTAGTGCAAAACCTACCAGTACCCTTTTCTTCCAGACAGAGGCAACCTCAAACCAGGGGACATGGCTAAACCAAGGGACATGGCTTAGGGAGTAGAGTGTCAGACCAATTGCTGTCCCCACTCACCTCCTCAGCTGGCCTCCCTATGTGTGACACACCTAGACACAGTGGCCACCATTGAGCCAGAGAAAAGTATGTGGAGGAGGGTATAGATGTGACCTATCCAGCTTCACTATCCCACTGTGATAGGCTCAGAAAGGTGTCCACAGCCTTAAACCCTCAGGGGGTAGGCAAACAAGCAATGGGGGTAGATGCTGAGCAGCAGCCCTGGAAGAGGACCAGGAGAGACTGAGGACAGCGGTGGGTTTTTGAGGCAGCCGAGTGAAACCTTGCAGGTAGGTACTGCTTTAGAAACAAGAAAGCAGAGAGACTCTGAGGTGGAAGAAAGACCAAGGGAGACTTAATAAGTGGTTTTATGAGGGAAGCCTGATCCCTGGGGAAAGTAGTTTATCCTTGAGGCACAGCGACAGGGGATCATTCGAAATAGGGATTAGTAGGTATCAGGTGTGACATTCAAAGACCTGGTCCTAACACCAGAACACAGTACAGGTGGAGGTCAGAAATACCCCACAGCATCTGAAGGAAGTGTGGCTCACCCTAGGAGCCCACACAAGCTCTCAGAGTCAGAAGTGAGAGGGCATTAGCAACCCAGAAGCTAAGGATTGAGCAAGGGGGAGGAGCCCAGCAGTTACGGAGCTTTGCGTCACTCTCCTGGAAGACTTGTTAAAACAGATTGCTGGGTCCCACTCCCAACATTCTGACTCAGTAGGTCCGGGATGGAAACCAAAAACTCTGCACATCTAACTAGTTCCCAGATCTAACAGGTTTCCCAGATTGTGCTGACACTGTTAGTCCCGGCACTGCACTTGGATGAGGAAACCAAGCGGAGGAGGAGCTGCAGGAGCTGAGATGGCGAGGACCCTTAAGAACAGTAGAAAGAAGGGACAGGTCAGGGAGAGGGACCCAGGTCCAGGCTGAAGAGCTTAACTTTGGGTCCAAGAACTGAAGCGTCAGTGGTAACTTGTCAGTGACACGGAGGTGGCGTCTGGGAAGAGGAGCGGGCGACAGAGACAGGTGGGAACAGAAAGAAGGCCTTTGGGGACTTCTGGGGAGGCAGGGGGGAGCCGAAGCTGAATGGGCCTCACCACAAAGGACCGACTGACTCTCTAACAGGACAAGGCAAGACGGACTAGGGTAGAAGACTGAGTTTATACTTCTGGGTATCTGCTGCCTGCCACCTGTCCTGCCAGGGCAGGGAACCCTGGAGAGACATCCTCCCATCCCACCTCCACTGCATCCTGCCCTTGTCCCCAGTCATCTCGGGCTGGTCAGGGGAGAACAAAGGCAAGTTGAGGAGCAGAAGACCCATCAAGGGACTGGAGGCTGGCCCCCTGGGGCTCAGTGTAGCCCAGGTGGACACAGCCTCTGATGGGGCCGGTTCAAACCTTGGCCCTGGCTGCACCCACTCCTGCCCTTGAATAAAGGTCTGCTGTTCCGTGCCAGGCTAAGAGACCAGCATCCAACCGGGCACTGTGCCTTCCTCCCCGTGCCCATCTGAGCTTGGGTCCACTCAGAGGACGCAAGTTCTTGCCTCTCCCCTTCAGTCGAACACTGGACTCGGGTTTCAGGACCACCTGGGTCCCTCTCAAAAATGAGGTCCGTGAACAAGGGCCTGCTGGAGCCCCACGCACATACTGAACTAGAGCACAGGGAGGGGACCGGGTTTGGATTCAGGGGGAAAGGCGGAGTCTGCGCAAGAGGGGTGGGGTGCTTGGCACCCTCATACAAAGCACTGGAATGGAGACATTGAAGCTGCTCCTGAAAGTCGCTGAGATGCAACCACTCAGGGAGGGCACCACTGACCAGGACAGTAAGGAGACCTGTGTTCTAGTGCCAATGCTGATTGTCACTAGTGACCTCCATGAGGACTCTCACTCTCAGCAAGGCACATTATTTCTCTGGGCCTTAGTTCCCTTATGTGTGAAAAAAAAAATGATACCTGGCAAACTCATAATGCTCAATAAATGTTAAGTTGCTAAATGGAAAAGGGAGACCGGAATTCCACTTGAGGTGCAGAACAGCTGAGACTCCAGACCAGAGAGAGGTGCAGCGTGTGGAAGCAGATGCAATGACTCTGTGGACAAAGGACACAGCCCCCCACCCCAACTGCTCTGGTCCCTAAGTAGGCAGCTTCATTCTGGGGCTCCTATTCTGCTGCAGTCAGAGAATAATTAAGGTCAGGAAGAAAAAGACTGAGGCCCCAGGGCCTGGTGGGAGGAGTCTGCTCCAAGACTAGCTTAACCCGGAGAATGAGCCGGAGGAGGGCGTGTCCCAGTCTGGAGAGCTCAGAAAGACTTGTCCCTGGAAGCTGTGAAAGGGGCCAAGCTCAGCTGGAACCCACCCCTTGCTTCCTATGTTCCCCTTCCCAAACAGAAGCCCCATTAGGAGTTGGCTCAACACTGACAATTTAGGTGACAGATGGGACCCAGGCATCCCCTCCTGCAGTGGGTGGGTAGCAAGGTCCACGAAGGACAGATGGTGTTTACGATGGGGAGAGGGCCTGGGTTATCCAGAATAGGCTGACAACCCTCAACAACCTCCCTACTACCACCTCACCCCTACCCCGCCCCTGCCTTTTATAGCTTTGTGGTAAGGGAAGACGCAACCAAGCCTGGATTTTATAAAACCAGTTTATTCACATTTTAGAAAAAAAAAAAAAAACTAGTTTGAGGACAGGAACTGGCCTTCCTACAGCATGAGTGTGAGACCAAGAACAGAGAACCAGAAGGAAGACCTTGTGGAAAACTGTGGGGAATGGGGGAGCCAAGTCTCCCACCCTAGGCAGGGACAGGTCAAATAAATTAAAGGAAGTTCTGGACGGAGGAGGGAGAGGGTATCCAGGCAACCGGGGGAGGGGCAGCGCTGGCTGGAAGACAGTGGACACCTGCAGGAACTGGAGAGAGCACGTGGAGTAGCTGAGGGAAAGGGTCCCTTCAGCCCTCACCCTGCTCCACGGTCCTGCAGGACTGAGCTGGAAGCCGCTTGTCCAGATGGAGCACACAGGAAGTCGAGGAAGACGGGGCTTGGGGGGGGGGTCCCTTTCCCTCACCTGGGACGTTACAGATCACCGCTTTCGCAGCCTCTTCATAAAGCAGCAGGTGATAGTAGCAAGGACACTGGCGCCAGTGACTAGGGCGACTCCTGTACCCACCAACAGGGGCACGAACAGGGTATCCAGAGCTGGAGGAGAGGGGATAGCCTGCTCAGAGAGTGTCTGTCATACAGGTCGCTGACACTCTCCCCGGCAGGTTTTCTAGACTCAGTCCCTAGTCACAGGGTGCCATCCCTGCCCACCCCAATCAACACTGAGATCAGCTTAGGGATTTTCATGCAAAGGGATGCAGGGATGGGGGTGGGGGCGGGGGAGGCGGAGATAGCAGGGAAGACAGGCAAACAGAAGGGGGGCAAACACAACTGGAGCAGGGGAGGGGAGCGGAGGGCGGTTATCACTCACCATGCGTGTAGGGGTAGACTGTGACAGGCCCGGAGCGTGCACTGCCCGCCTGGTACCAGCTGTAGTCGGCATGCTGCACCCAGGCGCTTGGGGCGCAGTGGTATACGCCTTCATCCTTGGGCCCCAGACTGTGCAGTCTTAGTCGATGACTTCTGGGTCCCACCAGTTCCACACTGACAGGACCCCCTCCAGGCCGAACTCCCAGCTCTGCCACGCCGTCCTGACCCACTCCACCCACAAGCTGAGCAGGGCTGGAGCTTAACTCGCCCTCCTCTGGTCTTTCCACCCACCAGCTGGCTGCTAGTCGCAGCCCCGGAGGACCACCCCGCACAGAGATGTTGCACAGCAAGGAGGCAGTCTCTCCCCGGTACACAGTACCCCCTGCGAGCCATGCCACAGCCTCCAGCACCACGCCTGCAGAGTAAGGGACATACGGGTTACAGAGGGAAGGCTCAGGAGCTAAGAACTTAAGAAATAAGTTTGATAAGCTCTGAACCCTGCCAAGGGCTCGGCCTCTCACCTTCTTCCCTCACATGCACAGGGAGAGGCCGGGAACGAGCACTGGCTGCTTCACGAAGTCGGGTCCCAGACCCTCGAACGTAGGCTTTGGCAAGGCAGCGGTAGGTGCCTGCGTCACCAGGCCTGGCAGCCTCCAGTCGTAGTCGGTAGGTCCTGGATGCCACTTTCTCCATGGCAATGTGCCGGCCCTCATAGCCAGGGCCCAGGCTGCCAACACCTTCTGTGTCCAGCTGGGCCACCAGGCGGCCAGGCCCAGGAGCCCCTGCAGGAGCCATCTCCCAGCCCACTGAGTATGCAGCATGCCGGCCTGGTGGGGGCAGTGCCCCTGACACATTGCATAGCAGTTCCAAGGGTTCCCCGGGGCCAATCCGATGTTCACCAGGCCCCACCGTCACTGCCAGCTGGCTGGCTGAAATACAGCAGGGGAAGGGAGGGGTCATAGGGATGCCTGGGTTCCTATCTATAACACCTCTTTGCAAGAATTTAGAGGCCTTTTATCTGTCCCTTTCCCCAGGCCCTGAATTTCACCCTTCCACCATAGCTCTTATATCTCTACATCCCATTTCTGAGCAGAGAAAGCATGGATAGAGAGTGAATAAGGTCTAGAAGGCTGCTCACTCCGTGGAAGAATTCTATATGGTCATGTAGCACCGCCCCCCGACGCCCACTGAGATGCCCCCTCAGGGGACATGGCACTCACACAGTGTCTGCACGTCCACATGGGCCAGGACCGCCCTCTTCTCTGCGATCTGGACCCAGGAGCCATCAGGATCCTGAATCCATTCAGCGGCCGTACAGTGGTAGGTGCCCGAGTCTGCAGCCTGGGCACCCCCGACCACCATGCGGTACCGATCAGTTCCTTCCTTGCTCAGCCGCAGCTCCCCGGCGGCCAGCCTCTCGGCATAGGGAGCACCAGCCTCCACAGCCATGTCAGAGCGCAGTCCCACGACTTCCTGGAGGGTGGCTCGCCCCACTGGTGCCTCAGGCTCGGCTCTCCCAAAGGACACCGACAGGTGTGTGTGTTTCTTCGTTTTAGTCTGAGCCAGGCAGCCCAGCGCCAGCTCCTGCCCCTCATGCACAGTCAGGCGGGAGGGGGAGGCTGCAGCCTGGCGTCCTCGGGGCCCCGGAGGGGCAGCAGATACCTGCAGCTCGTCTGGAAGAACTGGAGAGAGGCTTTGGTGAGAGAGGGCTGGGAGATGGCAGCCCTCCTGTCTCCTGTGTCTCCCACTTCACTACCTACTCTGTGAGCTCCTGGAGAACAAGGACCTTCTATAACTCAGTGGTCCCTAGCCCAGTCTGAGCACACTAAGATGCTGAATTTTACAGAACAAGCCTACTGACACCCACTCGGATGTCTGGGATTAACGCATTTTAAATACTCAAGAAAGGAACTCTAAAGATAAAGAGACTGGCGCGGGCCTATCATCCCAGCTCCCTAGGAAGCTAAGACAGAAGGAGCAAGCTCAAGGCCCACTGGGACAACTCAATCCCAGTCTGAGTAATTTGGAACGTCTCTGCATCTGGTCCCCATAAAAGAAAAGAAAGTGCTGGAAAGGCAGGCTTACTGGCACAGGAGCCTGACAGGAAGACCTCTGGGAGTTTTAAAGTAACCTGGGCTACATAATGAATTGTGGGAGAATTGCTAGGAATTACAGGCCAACCTAGGCTAGTGGGTTGTAGGCCAGCCTGGGCTACAGGGTGAGATCCAATCTCAAAAACTAACACAGGAGATATAGCTTAGTAGAATACTTCCCTGGTATGCTCAACACTGTAGGTTCAATCTGGGGTGGGGGGAGACGGAAAGAGGAAGAGGAGGAGAAGGAATTGGAAGCAAGAGAAGGAAGAAGATGAAAACCCAAATCTGGGAGGCACTCTCACCACCCAGTTCAGAGCCCAGTACCTCTCAGCTCCACTTTGGCACTGTAGTTGCCCAGGTACTGAGTGTCTGTTGAGGGGGTGTAGCATTCATAAAAGCCAGAGTCCTGGGCCTGCAGGCGACCAATCTTGAACACCACGGAATCTCCTTTCAGGCGCTGCACCTGCAGGTCCCCAGAAGCCACGCGAGGCCCAAACACAGCATAGGAGAACTGGCTATCCTTGGTGCTGATGATGCCCAGGGAAGTCGTTGGGGCCTCAGGTCTGTACATGAACCATTCAAAGTCCTGCTGGGAAGGGCCCTCATAGGCACTCACGTTGCAAGAGATAGAGACAGTGGTGCCAGCCACACGGTAAAGAGGGCCCTTGGGGACATGCACCTGCCGGGCATAGCACCTGACTCCTGTGGGGAAAAAAAGTAGAAAGAATTGGAATTTTTTTTTTTTTTTGAAAGGCTGGGTCCCCATTCGATGCCCAGGCACAACAGCACCATTCTTGACGGCTACCTGTGAAGCAAAGGGAAACCTACAAAAGGTTAGAACATAGCCAGGCATAAGACACAGCTGAGGACAGGGAGAAGATGCTGGGATGGAAGGCATCAGCATCTCAGCATCTGAACAGAAGCCCAGAGCCACCCCAGAACAGAGGAATACTCCATCGCTAGCTAAGGAGAGGTAGAGCAGCTGTGTGAACAAAAGAGCGCATGGGGAGGCCGGAGAGACAACCCAGTAAGGAAAAGGCTTTCTGAGTTCAAGTCCCTGCAACCACGTAAAAAGCTTGGCATGGTGGCTGGTGAGGTGGTTCAGTGGGTAAAAGCAGCTGCCACACAGGCCAGGCAACCTAAGTTCGATCCTCAGAACAGACCACGGCAGGAAAGAACCAAGTCCTGAAAGTTGTCCTCTGACCTGCACTCTCTCTATATAATTAACAACAACAACAACAACAACAACAACAACAACAACAACAACAACAACAACAACTAGATGGCTCCTGAGGTTGATCTCTGGTCTTTACATGAACACTCATATATGTGCACTTGTACCCATGCACACATGTGCACACCATATACCACAAACACACAGAATTTAAAATAAGAAATAAAAGAAGCATGTCTGACTCTTGACTCCCCAGTTCTTGGCTGGATCCTTCTCTCTCCCACTCATGTGTGGGGCATTCTCAGGTGAAGCCTCTAGCTAAGGGATTCTGAGACCTTTGCTGGAGGGGACCTGGCACAAACTCACAGAAAAGCTGCTGGGCTTGGTTCTGTCACCTGGGCTAGACAATGGAGCCAGTGGCCCAGGCTGGACGGGGCACCATGCTGAACAGGGCACGGGCCTGGTCAGTTCTCACCACACAATACCCTCCCCACGACAGCTGTGCCATGAGCTCACTGCTTCTCCTAGCCCACAGGGCTACACAGACAGCTGTGGCTTCTGGGGCAAAACTAAGGCTCTGCTCTGGCTTGGGGCAGAAGATCCCTTCCCCCCAGAGTCTGCCAACCTTCTGGATAGCCTAGATGGTGCACCATGCACCCCCTCCCAACAAATGCTTCATTTACATATTATTTGCATGTGCTGTGCATCATTTATATTGGTCCCCTTTCTGTAAGGAGACCCTAAGCTCCTTCTGACCCTTATGTTCTTCTCTCTCTCTCTCCTCCCCCGCCCCGTTTTATCCCTACCCCTGTTCCAACAGTCAGTCTCAGCTCCTTTCTTCTTTCCACCATTCCATAGCTACTTCTAGGAAAAAAAAAAACCACAGAATGCAAGGAGGGCTAGCAGTCATTCCACAGACAGGGAAATGATGTAACTCCCCCCAGCAAGCACATCTAGGGAGTGCCGGAGCTAGGATCTGAACCCAGGTCTGAGTAAGCTTTCTAACTGCTCTCCCTAGTCAACAGAGAAGAGAGGAAAGGCCTGGCTGGGGAAAGAACCGTCTCTTCTAGATGAGAACTGTAAGAGAGTGGGATGTTTGAGTCAAGATCTTGCCATCTCTGGAGGGCCTCTACACACCCCTGAAGAGGGACAAAACCAAGAAGATGAGACACTTTCAAGGCGGGGCCTGATTTGCCTGACTGTGTAATTTCCAGGATTCCCAGGGGAAGTCCACAGGCTTGCTTCTGCCCAGGAGGAAAACACCCAGGAGCCTGAGAGCCTGCCCTCCCGTTCTTGTTCCTTTCTGCTTCAGGCTGTGGCTGCGTCACTCAGAGAACACATGACCATCACTTGAAGCCGAGGCTAGAGTCAGGAAGCCGACACAGGACCAATTCTTTTCTCTCGCGGGCCTCCGTTTCTACCTTTGAGACCTAAGAGCTTCCAGTTCTGACTCTGAACCAGGGAAGTGCGTGACTCGCTCCAGGCACATTTCATAATCAGGATGATGTTAAAGACAGCCAAGCTGACACCTTCCCAGCTGCCCATGGGTAGAGTCTGCTCAAAAGGCCCCCTCCCACCTCGCTGGCTCCACAAGTGCTGATGCCTGGAGATCCCCATGGGAAAGCTGTCCCCACAGCCTCAGGAAACAGGCTGCAACAAGGTTCCCTCTCACCAGGCCACCTCCCTCTAACAGCCAAAGGCCTGATTTGGGAGTCAGATCCGAGTTCAAATCCTAGCCTCAACCCTCCTTGGCTATGCTCTCCGGAACAAGATATTTCATTTTCCTCATCTGTGACTTGAACGAGGTGGGCTTGGGTGCCAGCAGGTTCTTCTGCGTTTCTGCAACACTCACTGCTCCCGGCCTCCCCTGGGCTCATCCCTGCCCCATAAAGCCCACTGGGAAAAAGAAACCATCACTAGGCAACCAAACCCCACAGCTCCTTCATTTCTCGCCATCACTCTGCCTCCTGCCTTGTTCCTCAAGGAGAGTTTTCATCCCCAGAGCCCAAGACCTGTGACTCTGTCACCATGTAGTTCTGGTCTAAGCCAGAGAAGGCAGATGGGGTGCCACAGACTTCTGCCTTGACTACAGCACCCCAGAATCTTCCCCATAACTACACCCTCCCCATATTCCCACCACACACACATACACACCATCATAAACACCAACCAGGACAGACACTGGGTGTTTGGAGATCCCAGGTTCAGTTTCCATGGAGCCTGGTTTCACCTGGGGCAACGGATGTTGGGACAACTAGCCAAATATCTGGGAGTGTGGAAGAAGAGGAACTGGCCCAGGGTGGAGACAGAGATGGTAAAATGTGTGTTGGGGGTAGGGGTGGGGCTTGGGGAGACTTTCTTTAAAGACCGTGGGCAGAATCAGCCCCTGGGCCTCCAGCCAATTCTGGGGTAATTATGAAGACCGCCAGGCACTACCCACGCAGAGCAGGCACCCGAGGCCAGGCCTGGAGCCTAGAGTGGGGCAGAAGGTTGTCACAGTATTTGGGCGCAACGACCCCAGGGCCTGAGTGTAAAAGCTGAGAAGTGGCGCCTGCCTCGGGGGTCCAATGGTGTCTCAGGAGATACCTCAGTAGGTCGCTAATATGCCCCAACTCGGGGCCTAAAGCTAGGGCGCCACCACCCTCCCCATAACTGACTAGGCAGGCGGCCGAAAAAGGAAGCGAGGCGCCGAGCCCAGAGAGGCTGGAGACACGCCTGATGGAGAAGTAGGGATGCAACCAACTCGCAAATGCTAGAAAGGTGAGCTGACTGGATGCGCAGTGTCAGCACCTACCCGGCCGGGACAGGGACGCGGCGACCACCCGGCTTACCAAGCATTAGCAGCAACAGCAGCGAACTCAGCGGCGTGGGGTTGGGGACGCCCATTCTGCGTAGGCGGCTCTGGGGAGGCTCCGGGGGTCGGCGTGGGCTCTGGGGGACCAGGGCCGCGGGGGGCACATGCCCGGGTGGGGGGCAGAAAGCGGAGCAGCGAAGCGTGGGTGCGCAGAGCCCAGATGAGCGGGAGCCGCCAACTCCCCGCCCTCCTCTCCTCTTCTCCTCCTCCCGTCGCTCTTCCCGCCCTCCGCAGCTCCGAGACCATTCCCGCCGCTCCCCGCCACCCGACCACGCCCACACGCCAGCCCCGCCCCCGCCCCGCCCCTGGCCGCCGCAACGGCCAGACTTCGACCCTGATGGTGGCTCCGCCTCTGGCCGCAGGCTGGGCGAGCTGGCGGCACCTGGGTTCTTCTACCCCCACCCGCCCTCGCTCAGAGCGCACCCCGCCCTGCACCTGCCAGCCTTTCCGGGAGAATCGGTGCTTGCAAGGCCCCTGGGGATGATGGGGTGACTGTGGTTACGCACTCAGAATCCAACTGGGTGATGTGGGCCGCTGAGTCTTGGCAGCAAAGCCTGCTGACTGATGTGGGCATGGAGAGACCCAGAACTGCCTGGACGTGAAGCGGTTGGGCTCAAGAGGCTTCAGAACCCTGGAAGATCCCTGAAATCTGGCCTAATACCCGGTCAGAAAGCAAAACGAAAGGAAAGTGGGTTAGCCGTCCAGACATCCTAGCTGGGCGATCTCTTGGCCGGCTCAATCCCTTTAACCTCAGTTTTCCCCTCCACATACGGAACAGAGATTGTAAACACTCAGAGTTACGGTGATAATTAACTGAGACAACGCACTTAACGTTTGTTGCACAAGGTAACTAGGGGGGTGTTTTGTTTTTGTATTAAACTGCTTTCTACCAATTGGAGTCTCCAATAAGAAGCTATGGACACACCTCTCGGCTGGGAAGGGTGGAGCTAGCCTGGAGGTAGGAGAAAGGAAAGAGTCTTTTCTAGTGCGTGTCTCCACTGTGAAAAAGGCGGAGAGTAATAAGGGTGGAGCCAGAATGGGGAGAAGGGACTGGCCAGCCCGCAAAACCAAGGCTGTGGAAGGGGCCATTAGTGGAAGTGGCCTAGACCACATCTAGGTCCTTCCCCTCCACACCCGACTTGCTCTCATTATCCCGGTTCGCTCCGCTACTGGCTACTGCCCCCTATTGAGGGGCAGTGGGAAACTGGTTCAGGCCAGAGCTGACTTCCTGCTCTCAGAGTAAGTATTCCTGGGGCTGCCATTGAAGCTATCTTCAGCAACCACAAAGAAACACTGATAGAGTTTGGGAATCTAGGGGGAAATCAGAAGTTCAACCCTGGTCTCCCAAGACTGCCCAACAACAGGATAAATAAAGGACCTGCTGCTTTCCACAGGGACATATCCCAGCCTGGTTTCTCTATTTCTCTAGAAGCCATGTGAAAACTGCAGAGCCGGGAGACTGGGAACAAGAGCAATCTCCCTTTAGCTGGAAGTTGAGTGGATTGAATACCATCTTTCCGGTACTTAAGGTTTGAAAGTGAACCATCATTGTCATAATAGCAGCCATTTATGGGATGGTTACGCATAGCACCGTGTAGATAATCATTCCCAGCCTTCACAGTTTATTTTACAAGACAAAGTAAAATCTGAACTTCAAAAACGGTTAAGTATCTTGCCCAAGGCTACACACATTTTAAGTTAACTGAGACTTGACATTAAAGCTGAGGCCTGGTTTGCACACCTTTAACCTTATTGCTCAGGAGGCAGAGGCAGGCAGATCTCTATGAGTTCCAGGCCAGCCAAGGCTTGATAGTGAGACCCTGTCTCAAAGCAAACAGCCACAACAAATCCACAAAACCTCAGCCCTGAATCATCTTGTACCCCACTGTTCACTCCTTTTAGGGTGAAAATTCAGTCATGTAGCAGATACTGATTGAGCCAGGCCTTGTGCTGGGTTTTGGCAATGCCCTAGTAAGCAAGGCTATTATGGTCTCCTACTCTGTTGTGTTAGTGCAATATCAGGTAAAGAGGTAGCAGGTAACACACAATCTAATCATTACTGGTGGGGGAGGAACACTCTTCAAGGAGCTTAGCTCATGACTTGCGTGACTTGCAACAAAGGGACTCCCACACCAATAAGTAGGGCTTAGGGGCTGGGCTAGTATCTCCAGAGGAGTTGGGGCCTAAGGAGGCCCCATACACCCCTCCTAAAACTGTGGAGTCCAGCAGTGACCAGCAGAGGGAGCCCAAAGTCCAGGGCCGACTCACCCGTAAGCCGCTTATGTAACTGGGAAAGTTGGGGGAGGAGAACAAATGCCAGGCACGAGGCACACCGCACACAGGCACATGTCCCCACTGACAGCAAGGGGCTTCACACGGAAAGGCGTTGCACACACACACACACCCAGCAGGGCAATGCTCAAACACACGCGCATGCGGCCGAGGAAAGCCGGATCAATGTCAAAGACAGGAGGCAGCCCCTGTCCTCAGGCAGCCCTCCCATAAGGAAACAGGCTTATGCAGTCTCTGACTGGTGTCCTGGGGTGAGTGAGCAGAGAGGGAACGGAGCCTTTCAGGCAGTCTCAAGGTCAGACTAAGGCACGGAAGGAACGGAAGCCTGGGATTGTGGAGGCGCGGACACCGTAGTGACCGCTGGGACTCTGGCACCATGGTGCATAGCTGAGCTGGGCGGTCACTTTTCATCTTCACCAGTCTCCCACCCACATTACCATGTACTACCACGTGTGGGCAGACATCAGTCACCAGTCTTGTTTCATATGCTTATTTAACTCATCTTGCCTCCAGATGGCATATGTATGAGACATCTAGGTGACAGTACAGTGCCACGAGTATCATTAAAAGTAATTAAGACGAGGCTGGAGAGATGGCTCAGTGGTTAAGAGCACTGACTGCTCTTCCAGAAGACCTGGGTTCAAATCCCAGCAGCAATGTTATCAGTTCACAGCTGTCTGTAACTCCGAGATCTGACACCCTCACACAGACACACATGCAGGCAAACACCAATGCACACAGAATAAAAGTAAATAAATTTTTAAAAAGTAATTAAGACCCAAGGTCTGCCCTAAAACGGTTGTGATCTGGCTGAATTGTCATATGCTACAGGTCACAGGCAAGGGGACAATGCTGGGCCAACTATGTAACACGGTCTTATTCAGTCCTCAGCACTGATACCCAAAGAAAATGAGGCTAGGGAAGGTTAGACTTGTCCAGTGTTAGCTTCCTGCAGTCCAAATATCACAGAAGAAAGAAACGAAGGAAGGAGGGAGGGAGGGAGGGAGGGAGGGAGAAAGAAAGAAAGAAAGAAAGAAAGAAAGAAAGCCCAGCATATACACACATACACATAGAGCTATAGATACAGGGATTGCTGAGACAAAATGGCAAGCACACCAGCCACTAAGCTAATACAAAAATGACACAAACACACACATAGTATTCCTCTCTCTCTCTCTCTCTCTCTCTCTCTCTCTCTCTCTCTCTCTCGTATGTGCAAACTCCAGCTTGGAGGGGTGGTAAGGACCACACACAAGACGTCCTGTGTTTGTTTTACAAAGCCTTGACCTGGGCTACACTAATGAACTACAGCTTTCCACCCTCCCCATAGGGAAAGTTGTCTCCACTAAGCTGTTGAGAGGTTACAAAAAGGGTCAGAGTCAAAGGAAGAGAAAACCCTACCCTTCACCTGGACAACAAATTCAGGCAGAGAATGGAGCAGGCGCATAAGCAAATACAAACATGCAAACATCTTCCCCACCCAAACCCATTCCCAGACCCACAAAGATGCGTCCCCCACAAGCACATTCCACTTCTTCCTTCCTAAGCCAGGTATGTGTACCCTAATAGAGTGTTCTCTCTCTCTCTCTCTCTCTCTCTCTCTCTCTCTCTCTCTCTCTCTCCCTCCCTCCCTCCTTCCCTCCCCCTCTCACTCTTTGTCTCTCTCTCTCTTCCTTCCTCCCTCTCCCCCTCTCTTCCTCCCTCCTTTCCTCCTTCTCCCTCTCCCCTTCCCTCTCTCTGTCTCTCTCTCTCTTCCTCCCTCTCCCTCTCCCCCTCCTTCTCTCTCTCTTCCTCCCTCCCTCTCTCTTCTTCCCTCCCTCCCCCCCCTCT